CCTGTTACTACTAGCGTGGCACTTGTTACTACTAGCTTCTTGTTACTGGCAAGTCCATTCTGGTAGCTTGAAATTTCGGGAAGTTTGCCTTGGCTTTAAGAACCGTGCACTATTTGGGACAGTGGGACAGGGATATCATTCTTTGGGTTGCGAGACCTGCCCTCTCTGCAATGCCCACCAACCCCTGAGCTCGGTGTTTTGCGCACGAGACTCACTTGTTGGTGTGGAGACCTGTCAGATCCTTTAGCTGGTTGTTTCTTGTAGTGAGTGCTCGGTTGAACAAATGTGCTTGTGAATGTTAAGAATGATGATGTGTTGGTTCTATGCGACAGTGACGGTTTTCTGAAGGTGCTGTTTTATGTCCATGCACATATGCTCTGAAACTTATGGACATCTGTTGTGAAGAGCGTGCCCTAGGAAAGACCAAAAAAACAAGCAAAGAAACTGACCCGTAGAAACAATGTAACAAACATGGAAACTGAACAACACCCCTGTTGTAGCAGCATGTCGTCATGTGTTTTTTTCCGCGGAATCTTGGTACTCTTCCTTTGGGGGTGCAGTGTCGAACGCCGGAACGCTGGCCCAACATGGCCTGCAAAAGCCTCAGCGCGACACCCCAGGTGTGAAAGCACGCAAAGTCACACCTCTCGCCCTTGAGGTTGACCCTAAATCGAAGAAGAAGAAGAAGAAAAAGAAGAAAAACATAAAAAGAAAGAAGAAGAAGAGGAAGAAGAAGAATATGTTACAGTAAAGAGAAAGAACATAGAATGAACATAGAGATAGAAGGGGGGCCAATTCGGGGGAGAATGGCCAATTCGGGCCATGGATTCCAACGGCCTGTTCTGTTCCAACTCGTGACGACCCGGCATTTCCGGACCCCCACTCGACCAGTGGAGCGGACCGGTAGGCCCTATAGGGCCTATATTGACGCCGGGAGGTGAGGTGAGGATATCGGGCCTACTAGCGTGGCACTTGTTACTACTAGCTTCTTGTTACTACTAGTA